GTAAGAGAGGGAAGGGGAGATCAGGAAAGAAATAGCGTTTGGATTTTCACTGGGTTTTTTACGGTCCTTTTTCCCAGGTGATCAAGGTAACTCTTCTTCTCGGTGTCATCATCTAGTATTTGACCAGCTGGGTGACCCTGGCCTAGTCACTTCACCTCTCCAGCCTCAGTTTCCTCATGTGTAAAATGGTCATAACAAGTACACCCACACGGAACATGGAACGAGGGGTATTTGTCCAAAGCCCTGCACACTTTAAGCACCTTGGAAACGAGCTCTGTTATTGTGCATTCAAGTTCCATAACAGTTGGTGGTTAAGCCAATAACAATAACACCTCTTGCCACTTCTGCTCCTAGGGAATGGCAGGCTGGCTGTGTGGAGGGCTGCTCCCAGGCTTCTTGCTGGCCTCGCCCCTTCTTCCTGCCTCAAACTTGCATCTTCACCCTCAAAATGCCCTCTTCCTCCATTACCAAGCCTTCAAGGCCCAGGGCTAATGCCGCCTCCTGTTGGAGCTCGCCCCATGTCCTCTCCTCCCCAGCTGGGGCGCCCTCTCCCTCCTCTGCTCTCACAGCCCTTGGCATTTCAGTTATTCAACTGTTAGGTCTATCAGTCTATCAACAAACATTTATTGAACATCTGTATTCTGCCAGGCCCTGGGCTGAGTGCTGGCAATACAAGGACAAAAAAAAAATAGTTCCTGTCCTCAGGAAGCTTACGTTCTATGAGGGAAACAGCCCATATGCACATAAGGAGATACAAAGATGTAGAGATGACACATATGTATGCACGCATGTATGTATGTATTTATGTAAGTGAAGTGAAGACGGGAATCAGGAAAGGCCTCGTGCCAGAGCAGGCGATGAAGCTGTGGACATTCAAAGGTGGGGGCAGGGTTCAGAAGAAGGATGGTCCAGGTAAGGGGAGAGTCAGCCCATCACAAAGGTGTGGAGGTGGGAAACAGCAGGCCTTCGCTCTCCTGGCGCAGCCTCTCCTTTTTTTTTCTTCATAGTCCCCCAGGATTGAGCCTGGATCAGGGACAGGCCGGACCCCTGTGAACATCTGTGCATTTGCAGGGAACTGTATGTACAAGACTTTTCAGGGCGCCAGCCCCATTTTCTTAGTTTCTCTCATTGGGGCCAGAGCTAACCTGCCATCTCCTCTCTCTTGAAAGAAGAGCAAGGGTCGGTGTGGCCCCCCCTGGTGAGAATCCCAAAAAAAAGCCTTCTCTCCAGATGCCCAAGGCTGTCCACAGTCACCAGCCATGTGTGTGGCACCAGCAGCAGGGCCCTCATCGAGCAGAACATGCTTGTCTTTTTTGGTAACCAAGAACAGAGGCGTGAAGTGTCCCAGCACAGGCTAACGGGCTGGCCAAAGGGCAGCGCTCAGCCCAGGGGCGCACGGGGGAAAAGCAGAGGGCTGGGCTCCCCAGCGAAGGTTCATGGTTCTCTGTAATGTGATTCACTGAGCGGACCCTGGGCCCCAGCGAATGCAGAGCTTCCTGGCCTCCATCCCTGGAGCGTGCCATGCTGCACTGAGGTGCTTCTGGCTGCTCATTGTTTGTTTTCAAAGAGGACCCTTGACAGTCCAGGGTGATGTTGTGACTCGTGGGACAGGCTCACTCTGTCTCTCTGAGTCATCAAAGTCCGGTGGCAACGTCAGGATGAGTGGTGATGGCGGGGATGCAGTGAGCGTCCTTGGCATTTTCAATGTCTGTCCACACTCTAAGCGCTCATGGCCCTTCAGCACCTTCAGGGCCATTGGAACACAATGTTCTCTTCAGCCCATTCCCCTGGGGGAGGTCGAGCCCCCTAACTCACCAGTGAGTTTGAGGTTGTTGTTTACCCTCACCTGGTTTAGCCCGTCTGCCAGGACCCTTTACCAGGGTGTGGCTGCTGCGCAGGATGCAGCTTCCCGGAGCCATAGGCGAGAGCTGGGGGACAGGCCGACACCAGAGGTGGAGAAGCAGCCCTGAAGAGGGCTCAGCGGCCCATCCCCCCTCAATACCCCATACACCCAGCCAGTCCTCCTGGCAGGATCTGAATACAAAACAGATTCTTCTCTGCTAGTGTGTGTGTGTGTGTGTACGTGTGTATGTATCTGTGTGTGTGAGTATATGTGTATCTGTGCATGTGTGTATGTGTGTGTATGTATGTGTATATCTGTGCGCGCGCGTGCGTGCGTGCGTGTGTGTGTGTGTGTGTGTCCTCAAAGGAACCTGACCTTGCCTCACCTCAAGTCATTGGCAAAACCAGGCTTCAGCAGGAGAGCTGCAAGGGCCAGCCCACAGGGCCAAGCCCAGGGCGAAAGAGCACTAGGTCCCCAAAGTGACCAGTTACCTTCTCGGTTGCAAAACCCCACATTCTTCTTCTGAAATCCTCCAAGCCTGGGAACGCCATCGGCACTTTATGCTTTCTTTCCCCCTCCGCACTGGGGGCATGGCCTGCTCCTGCTCTGCTATCGCCAGCTCCCTTGAGCCTTCGGGCGGCTCAGCCTAGGCACGGTTTTACCAATTTAATAAATAAGACTTGTTTAAACTTCAAAATGACCTGCTTCTCTTTAATTGGGGATGTCCTACAGAATGAAAGGCTCTGTAAAAGGAGGCTTGGTGTGTTCATGAAAGTGAGCAGCTTGTGACGTAAGAAAAATCTCCTTTTATAACTCAGAGGAAGAACAACTTCAAACTACTCGTTAGGACAGAAGAAACTAGTTTGACCATGTCTAGAAAGAAGAAGCTCCCGATTTTCATTTGCCAGTGCGAGGACCTGACTGCCTACTGTGGAGGGCATTTGGTGATTAGTTCAGGCAGAGGTGATCAGTGCTGGGGAGTGTGTGCCTAGGAAGGTGCTTGGTGGATGATGACAGTGGTCCAAGATGTGTCTGGTGGATAAGGGGGATAAGATATCCCTCCCAAAGTCTGCCTGATGACACACACAGCCCTTCTGCCCTGATGTTCCTCCTGCTACTACCAAGGGACGATCCAGATCCAGGACGATCCAGGGGGTGGGGGGAGTTGGGGACAGAGAGAGAGAGAGAGGAGAGCTGGGGACCTGAACAAGAGGTGGGAGGCAGCAATGAATGGGTTTCCAGGACAAGAATTTTGAAAACAAAACATTTTTTAAAATTCCCAATGATACACTGCACTTTCTCTAAAGCAGGGCAATTGTTCTCTTCTCCATTCCATAATCATCATAAGTGATAATAGCAGGGGAAGCTAGGTGGCGCAGTGGATAGAGCTCCAGCTTTGGAGTCAGGAGAACCTGAGTTCAAATCCAGCCTCACACACTTGACACTTACTAGCTGTGTGACCCTGGGCAAGTCACTTAACCCTGATTGCCTTGCCAAAACAAAACAAAAGTGATAATAGCCTTGGCAGACACGTCTGTCTCACCACACCGTTTGCAAAGCACTTTATAGACATGAATAGTTAATAGCCACCTATTTATGGTAGAGCTAACTGGGTCTGAGAGAGAGTAAGTGGCTTGCCTAAGGTCACACAGTGAGTGTCTGAGGTGGAAACTGAACCCACGTCTACCTTGGACTCCTAGTTCATCACTCCCTCCACTTCAGCGTGCTAAACAAAGAGAGAAAGCAGGAATTGATGTCAGGCAACTTTTGGTCAAATGGTTATGAACTTGAGGCATTAATAAATGTTGCCCCTCCCATTAAACTGCCGATTTGTCTTCTATGCTTTTTGGGATGATGGTTGTCTGATGGCAAATAGATGGAAGCTGCTCTTTTCCCAGCTGGGAAGTAGTCACAGGAGAGGAACAAATATTTCTCAAGAGAATTACAAACGATGGACCAGACTGTGAAAGATGATGCCAAAGCATAACTACTAACAAGGGAAAAGCAAATCAAAACCGTTCGAAGGTTTCCTTCACACCCAGAGATCGGCAAAGGTGACAAGACAGAGAAACAATCGATGTTGGACAGGCTGTGGGAGGCTCAGTACGCTAACGCATCATTGGTGGAGTTGTGAATTGCCCCAGCCATTCTAGATGGCGATGTCAAGCTAGGTTAAGAAAGTGACACAAATATCCACACCCTTTGACCCAGGGATCCCGCAGCCATTCATATACCTTAAGGAAGTCAAAGAAAGAGCCCAGACCCCAAATCATTCACTGCAGCACATGTAGCAAAAAACTAGAAACAAAGAAGATGCCTGTTGGATGGGGAACGGCTAAACAAAATGTGGTCTGTGAATATAATGGAATATTGCTGAGTGAGGAAGTGCGTTGGATAGAGCTTAGAATTGGGAAGTCTGGCCTCAGACATTTACTAGCTGTGTTACCCTGTTCAAGTTACTTAACTCTTATTTGCCTCAGTTCCTCATCTGTACAATGGGGGCACACTGGAGAAGGAGATAGCAAACCACTCCATTATCCTTGCCAAGCAAACTCCATGGACAAAAGGCCCCGGGGTCAAGTAGAATTGGATATGACTGAATGACTGAACAAGAAATGATACACATGAGGAAGACAAAAAAGCCTAGAAAGACTTCTATGACCTGATGCAGAGTGAAGTGGGGTGAACCAAGAGAACAACATCATAAACAAGCATTACAACAGTGTCAGTGGAAAGAACAAAAGAGCCCCGAGCCTGTGAAATGATAAGGATCAAGGCACCAATGAATGTCAGAAGACTTGTGTTCCAGTGCTGGCTGTTTGCCCTTGGGCAGGTCCCTCTTCTCTCCTCTCCCACTACCCACAGCCTCAGTTTCTTCTTTTAGAAAATGAAGGGTTGGGGCAGCTAGGTGGCACAGTGGATAGAGCTCCAGCCTTGGAGTCAGGAGGACCCGAGTTCAAATCCAGCCTCAGACACTTGACACTTACTAGCTGTGTGACCTTGGGCAAGTCACTTAACCCCATGGCTGCACCAAAAAAGGCAAAAAAAAAAAAAAAATGAAGGGCAGGAGAAGAGCTGACCACACCAAGGTCTCTGAGTTCTACACTGGTCCCCTTTCAGTTGTCACCCACAGTAAACTGGAAACAAAGACACCTACTGGGTTGTTGCTGGCTTTCCCTGCCAGGATGACTCTGGCCTTGATCTTATTCATGTTAAAGTTTTTCAGGTAGGCTTCATAAATGCGCTTGGCAAGAGACTTGAGATCTGCAACTTCCGAATCTTCTAGATCGTGTTCACATGTAAGAACCTCTGCTTTTAATTTGGCTTTTTCAGATCTTGGCATTCTCCCGAAACGGATGGCTGGTGGGAAAGATGGTGGAGAAATAGGGACAGAAATTGCAATTATGTCACAAGGAAGAGTCTCATGCCTAAAATGAGAATGACTCCTTGCTGAATGCCCCCATTTAGGATAGGAATGAGGCTATTACTAAAAATGGACAAGTGAGATAAAGGCCATTCCTTGGTACCATTTGATTTTGCATTTTAATGACAAGGTCAAGGTGAACATGAAAATCAGAATTTCATTGTCGGGAAGGGAGAAGAGAATGAAAATTTATTAAGCCCTACTCTGCACCATGCGCTCAGCGCTACACATATGACAAATACTTCATTGGATAGAAATGGAAAGTGTAGACGCTAGACTAGAGATGGGTTAGAAAGGGAGGGCTATCCCTCAGGTCAGAAATTCACTTGATTTAAATGGTGGGACGACCTCCGGTTTGCCTGGCACTAGGTGAGGACTTTCCAGGCAGACTAGGTGGTCTATGAGGTTACTGGTTTCAAGGAGAGGAAAATGGATGTGGATCAGAGCTTACTTCATTTGGTCCCTAGTGGGGAGCTTATTTCCAGTCTCGGTACCCACAGACAAACAAGGACACTATCTATGAGCACGTTTGGATATTGGAGACCTGAAGCCTGTGCTTTGGAAGCTCAAGCTGGGGGTGCTCCCGCATCTACCCCAGGAGAGGAGTCTGCCCACAGGCAGGGCTTGGAGGCACATCTGGAAAGATCTGGGGAATAAAGCCCCAACGGCGGGCCGACAGCCTCTTCTAATCGGGACAGTGTGCAAGGGTTTCTCACCCCTGGGGCACTCGAAGGGACTCCACCCACGAGGCCTCTTCTCCCCCTTGCCCCAGGGCTGAGCCCTGAGGAGTCAGACCTCTCACCCTGCACCCCATGAACTAACTCAAAGGGGCACTATCCATCTTGGTGAAACTCTGGGGCAGGCTGCTCTTCCAGAGCCACAGTGCCTCCCACCCCACGCTCATGGAAGCATTGGGGCAGGGTTCTAGCAGAGGCCATCTTTCAGGCTGGAAGCAGATTCAGAAATACAGAGCCATGGGAGGCTGTTTCCTCTTCCTCAGGGACAAAATCTTTCCTTTTTCTTTTTCCAATGAGAGCTCAACTCCCCACCCCAGCCCCCTTCCCTAGGACGCTGAATGAAAAAGCATGTTATGGTGATTAGACAGTAGAATACCAAGAGGAGCCCCCCAGCAGGGATTCTCAAAAAACCAAACAAATCCTGGGAGGGAGAGAGGGAAGGAAGGAGAGAAGGAAGGAGGGGGGAGGGAGGGAAGAGGGGAAGAAGGGAGGGAGAGAAGAAAGGAGGGAGAGGCGGAAGGAAGGAGGGAAGGAAGGAGGGAGAGAAGGAAAAGAGAAAGGGAGGGAGGGAGGGAAGGAAGGAAGGAAGAAAAGAGGGAAGGAGGAGAGGGAAAGAGAGAAAGAGGCAAGGATGGAGGGCATGAAGGAGGGAAGGAAGGAGAGAAGACAGAGGGATGGAGGGAGGGAGGCCAGAGAGAGGAAGGGTGGCCTTACCTACCATTGTGTGACATTCCAACTGAAAGGCACTTCTGGAAACGGCAATATTGACACTTATTACGGTTCTTTTTTTGAATTTTACAGCCGCGGTCACACTTGTCATAGGCCAGCTTAAGGCGAATGGTCCTCCGGAAAAAGCCCTGTGAGAGAGTACCACGTGCCTTAGCAACAACTAGGAATTATGCCTCGAGACCCAATCCATTGGGCCGCACTGTCCTTTTCTGGTGTCTAAGAAGCCCCTGACCCCCCTCAGGAAGCTGAGGTTTCTTTGGTGTGGGAGCAGCCACAACCTTCTACAGCCGTGGAGCGAGGGTACGGGAGCTACCAGGCCTCGAAGGTGGCCCCATACGTGGTTGCCCGACTCAGCCGGGCTTAGAATGACAGGCGCAGTCTCAAGAGTCCAGAAGCCCACCTCTGGTGCCTCTCTGTGGTGTGGAGGTGGCCAGGGGGACCAGCGGATTTACTGGGAGGTGCCTGTGGGGAGTGGGCCTGCCTGGGGAGCCCCCTCTGGTGACTTAAATGTAAGGGGAAAGGAAATTCTCTGTTAAAAAAGTTCTACTCAACATGAAGGGTCTCCCAGCTCCTCCCTTTTTCATGGGGTGGGTACAACGTGTGAACCTCAAGGCCATGTCTGGAGAGGGATTTTAAGAAGCCTGAAGCCCCTCTCTCCTCACATAGTCTAGCCACAGAGCTGAGGCTCCGGGGAAATGCCTGGAAAGCCATTCATTGTAAGAGGCATTCATAGTTCTTCTATAAAAAGGACCGTAGACAACAGAGCCAGCGGCTCACACACTTCCTAACCCAGTGGATTTGACCTCAGCCTCCTACCGTGTCTCAACTTACGCCCCGGCCACGTCCTGGGCCTGCAAAGGCCTCAATACAGATCCCAACCCTTCACCCAAGCAATTCAGAGGCCCTGGACTCATGCAGATCCCATCCCTTCCCCAGTGCAGATCGCAGGCCCTGCACCCACTCCATGACTCGCTGTGTCCAGACCCATTATGCCCTTATGACCTCTCTGTACTCAGTGAGGCTGGTCCTTGGACTGGAGTTGTATGCCCATGGTCCAGCCAGTGCAGGGAGGGGCTTGGGATAGCGTGTTGTTTCAGGGCCACACGCTCCTACTCTGTGGGAGGAGATGCCCTCCACACTTCTCTTGAGGATGATTCGCTAAGCCCGTGCATGGATGGTGAGTGGGTTAGCGACTCGAGTGGTCTAGATGATGTCTTTCTCCCCAGGACACTCCCCATGACCATTAATTAGGCTCCACCGAAGGAAAGGAGAACTCTGTGGAGATGCTTACAAAAGATGAATTTCTGAGAACACTGAGAGAGTCTTTTCAGAGGCTAGGGAACAAAAGAAAAGTGTCAGGTCCTAAGAAAGGCTTTAGAAACTATCTAGTCTCATCCCTTCCTCTGGAGGAAGGAGACAGAGATTGGGATTCGCCCCAGGCCACTCAACCAGTCAATGGCCCACACCCAGACCCAGACCCAGACCCAGACTCGGGCTGAGCCCCTCCCAGACTTCACCCAACATTTCAGTTTGACATTTTTGCCGGTGGGACACTCATTTGACAGAATGATAGCTCCAAGGCTGGGCTCACGGCCTGGCAGCCACCACACTTACCTTGCAACCCTCACAGGCATGCACACCATAATGGTAGCCAGAGGCTTTGTCCCCACAAATTCTGCACTCGATGTTTAATGTGGCACTGGAAGAGTCGTCAGCACTGCCTGTGATTGGGGTGTAATTCACAGATGAAGGACTGGACGCTGGGGAAAGGGTGTCTGGAAGAAAAGGGAAGGCTCTGGTGAATGCTGAAAGCCATGGGATTCCACTGCCCAAAGGCTATCTGTGTAAGAACAATCTAAGAAATTATGAAATTTAAGAGTGCCAACAAGAAAGTGTAAGAGGTCCAGTAAGTAGCTGAAACATCCTCTTGGACCAGTGTTGACTCTTTGCAAAAGACTATTACACAGATAGAACATTCTGGCCCCGGGGTGAGATGGGGGATTGCCTCCCCGTACCCTGGGAAGTAGGTGCCCAAGTAGGTCCAACGAGAGAGGAAACCAATCCAATAAATATTTATTAAGTGCCCATGATGTGCCAGGCACAGTGCTAAGTGCTGGAGATACAACTGGTTAAAAGAAAGACAGCCCCTGTCCTCAAGAAGCTTGCAATCTAATGGGGAGGGTTGGACAAAACACAAGCCCAGTAAAGAAGGCTGTGGCTGTGGAAGAGGGTGTGTCAGGAGCCCCTCTGCCCTACTCCCCAGGGTCAGGAGTAAAGAAAGCCTGCTCTGAGAGGCAGGAGAAAGCTCTCTCACCACCCATAAGGACAGCCCTGAGCAGCAGAAAGGAGCCTGGAGGACTGATTCCTATGGCCTGCCTGATGGAGCCTCACAAAGGAGATGCAGGAGAACCTTCCTTCCCTCGAAGCCTCTAATCAGGGATGGAACGTTCTCCTTGGTCTCAGTGGAGGATTATTGTTACCTGCCCTTAGCCAAGTAGCCCATTCACAGTACCTGCAGTCGATGGCCCTTTGGGCTAACACAATAGCCTCCCCGCCTGCCTGCTGATTCCTCTTACTGAGGCAGGGAATAGAGGCCTCTCCCTTCTTTCACCTGGCCTCAATTGCCGAGCCACGCCCCCCCCTTCCTATCTCCCCTCAACCTTCTCCATCGCCCCCCCGCCCCCCGCAGGGGACTTGAGGCTACTCTGATTTTCCCCCCTGCCTCCCTTAGCTCATTCATTGTATGAATGGACACAGGCCAAATCTGCCAGATTTCCTGTGGACCCTCCTTTTAATTTCCAGGCCACATGCATTTGGACTCTTAGAACGTGAAGTCATCCCTCCTCTTAATCAATTACTGCAGTAATTTGTCTGATTAGAGAAACTTCTCTTTCCCCAGTTTACCAGCTTCCTAAAAGGAAGCCTCAGAATATCACGGTTATGAGGAAAACATGAAACTTCTTGTTTGCTTGGAACAATCCACCTTCACTCACCAGGCTTCCAAGGTCTAACCTTTTGCAAAAAGTGAATATGCTTTAGACAAGGCCCTTCTCCATCAGCAACTTGCATCATTTTAGGAAAACAGTTTAACAAAGGATCAGATTAGATAGGAAACAAATCTAATTATGGCTAGAAAAACAGCTTTTTAAAAGAGCCCTTCTCTTTGAAACTGCTCTGACAGGTCACTCCCCAGCGAGGGAATCTGGAGGGAGAGCCTGATTGATGTGCCTGGCGCAACGCAGGATGCCCTGTGGCCAGCTGGCAGCTCTGCCATCTGGGGGTGCCCTCTGCTTTGGCATGCTTTGTAAGCTGTCCCTTTTAGCCACAATGGTCCCCAGGGAATCTCTGTGGGGAAGGCTCCCTCTCCTTGGGCTGCTCACCACGCTGGTCCGTGAAGTGGGCTAAGACAGCCTCCTGAGTTAACACATAGTTTACTTCAGATATGAAGTGGCTGGTGAGGTTTGCTTGTGGATGACCTTTTTCTGGTTTCTATTTCCAAATCTTACAGTTTTTTGGGGGACCCCCATTTTTCTCCTCCCTCTCTGACCACTCCTTTTCTGTCTCCTTGGCTGGATCCTCCTCCAGGTTATACCTTCTAACCAGGGGTGGTCCCTCAGGCTCTGTCCTGGGTGCTCTGCTCTTCTCGCTCGGTACTACTTCACTGGGTGATCTCATCAGCTCCCATGGATTTAATTACCATCTTTATGCTGACAGTTCTCAAAACTACCATTTTCTGCCCCAGACTCTGCTGACCTCCAATCTGCTGTTCAGACATCTCGAACTGGACATCCAGTAGACATCTTAAATTCAATATGTCCAAAACAGAACTTGTGATCTTTGCCCCTAAACCCTCCCCACCTACCTTCCCTATTACTGCAGAGGGCACCCCCATCTGCCAGTCTCCCAAGCTCATAACCTAGGAGTCATTCTAGAGCTCCTCACTATAGCTTACTTCCTCCTCCTAGGTCCAAAATGGTGCCAAGGCCTGTCAATTTCCCGCCTGCACCATCTCTTGAATACGCTCCCTCCTCTCCTCTGACACTGCCATCCCTCTAGTGCAGATCCTCATCACCTCACACCTGGACTATGGCAATAGCTGCTAGGGGGAAGAGTCTGCCTGCCTCAAGGCTCTCTCCACTCCACTCCATCCTCCATTCAGCCACTGAAGTGATTTTCCTAAAGCACAGGTTCAAACATGTCCAGTGGCTCCCTCTGGCCTCCAGGATCTGACCCAAAATGCTCTGCTTGGTGTTCAGGGTCCTTCATAACCTGCCCCTCCCCCCTCTCCAGTCTTGTTATACCAGACTCCCCAGATGTGTCCTCTTCACTCCAGTGACTCCACACTCTTGGCTGCTCCACCAATAAGGTTCTCCGGCTCTCAGCTCTGGGTATTTTCTTTGGTCATCATCCCCTATGCTTGGAATGGCCTCCCTCCTCAGTTCCACCAACCACCTTCCCTTTAAGTCTCAGCTAAAATGCCACCCTCTACAGGAAGCCTTCCCCAGCCCCTCCTAATTCCTGTGCCTTCGCTCTCTTAGTTATTTCCTATTTATCCCGCACACAACTTGCTTTATAGATCCTCTCCCCCATTAGAGTGTGAGCTGCTTGAGGGCAGGGACTGTCTTTTGCCTCTTTTTGTATTCCCAGACCTTAGCACAGAGCCTGGAACACAGTAGGTACTCAATAGGTGTTTACTGATTGATTTCCCACACAGGTGAAATGGTTTTGTCTGAGAACAAAAGTCTAACCCAACCTGCCAGAAAATGAAACACTGACCTGTAATGATGGAGCCGTCTGACCCTGGACCACTTCCCAAGCAATGATACTCTCCAAAACCAAAGGCGCCGGAGCTGTCATCGCCAAGGGATGGAGAGATTTCCTGGATGCTCCCCATCTCTTGGAGAAACTCTTCAGAGAGTGGGCTTTCCAGATCATCATCATCGAGTGGAGAAAGGGGGCAGATCTGGCTGTCGGTGTCTACCATCTTGGTAAGGTAGAACCTGTCCCTTTAAAGGTCTTTAAGCTGGAGGGAGGAAAGGAAAGGAAAAATCAGATCAAAATCAATTTATAAAATCAGATACATTAGGTGGCTAAAATGTCACTTGTTACTTGAGGTGTAGCTGAATAGTAAAAAGTAAGGCAACCTTTGATTCACTGCTAACAAGGAAACTCAATCTATCAGAATAATTATAATCATGATCATCATATTTCTATAGCTGATTCTATGTGCCTGGCACTGGGCTTTGGGCTTTACAAATATCATCTTATTTGATCCTCATAACAACCCTGGGAGGTAGGTACTGTTAGTATTCCCATTTTAAAGTTGAGGAAACTGAGGCAGACAGAGGTTAAATGACTTGCCCAAAGTCCCACAGCTAGTGTCTGAGGCTGGATTGGAAATCAGGTCTTCCTGACTCCAGGCCCAGTGCTTTGTGTATTCTGGCTCCTTCTAGCTGCCACAATCAGAAATTTTGGGAGCCCGAAGGGTTGAGGACTACTCATTGCATGCTAGAGTTTGGGACAGAGGAAAGTTGGGCATAGTATGACATGCAGCCCAGGTCTGGGTAAAGCAGATTCAGAACAAGGACAATTTGGATCTCATGCCCTGAAATTCTAAGGGCAAGGGTTCTTAACCTGGAGCGGGGTGCCAGTGGGGAAGATGGGAAAAAATGACATCTTTATTTCGATATCATTGGTTTGCTTTGTAATCCCAGGCATTTTATTTTGTGCATTTAAAAACAATTCAGAGCAGTCCAAAGGCTTCACCTGCCCAACACAAGAAGGGTCGGGAGCCTTTGCTGTAGTGAAGTCAGCCTCCAAAGGATCAGAACCTCAAAAATGAAATTAAGGACTCAAAGGGAAACCTTTCCAATGAAGAGGGAAAATGGGGGTGGGTGGGATCTGAAGGGACCAATCAATGTCTCAGAGAACGCATCCTATGCCTCAGCTTTTAACCAGAAGCGTCCAGATGCTAGAAGCTAGGGCAAGAGACCAGTCATCTGATTGCCCAGGATTCTGAAAGACTGTGGAAGATCTGTGGGGTGGCATAGGCCTGGACCAGGGCAGAAGCCGAACTCTCAAAGGAGACACAGAACAGAGTTGGACAGCTCCAAGCCACAGAGCTGGGCTTGCATCCCTGGGAAAATTCTGGAACAGATCATGAAAGACCCCAGGAGTGAGTGTCTAGAAAGGACAGTGGTGTGGCTTCACTGTGTTGGAGCCCTGCCGGGCAAACCTTCTTGTCTCTTCTGATGTGAGTACAAAGTAGGACCTTGAGAATGCTGTGGGTCTGCTGGTTCTAGATTTGACAGTCTCTGGTAAAGGACTCCATCTTATTCTTGTGGAAAAGATGGAGAGGTGTGGACTACAATGAGTTGAGTGACTGGGTAACTAACTAACAATCCCTTGTCAGCTTGGCACGAGGTCGCCAGTGGAGTGCCTCAGGGATCAGGGCTTGGCCTTGATGTTTAACATTTTTTATCAGTGACTTAGACCAAGGCAGAGACAGCATGCTCAGCAGATCTGCAGACCCCCAGCTGTGAGAAAGGCTAATACAGTGGATGATAAAGTCAGACTCCAAAAAGATCAGGCTGGAGCACTGGGCTGGAACGAATCAGAAGAAATTCAGTAGGGATCTATGTAAAGTGTCATGCCCGGATTCAAACAGAAAGCCAATGGCACAGGTTTAAGGCAGGGGAGGCAGTCTGTCTTAAAGCCACCTGGAGCTCTGAGTGAACTGTGACCTCAGCATGAGTCAGCAGCTTGACGTGCTGGTCCCAAAGGTCACATAGCCTTGGACTTCATTAAGAGGGGCAGAGTGCCAGGGGTGGGGAGGGAGGGTCCCGCTGTTCTCTTCCCTGGTCAGACCCCATCGGAAGTATTAGCTTCAGTTCTGGGCACATTAGAAAAATAACATTGATAAGCCAGAGAGTATGGTGGGGGGAGCAACCAGGAGGGGAAAGAACCTCCCATTCATGCCCTAAGAGCATCTGTCGAAGGAACTAAAGCTTTTTAGCTTAGAGAAGACCGAGGATGGGGAGGGGGCAGGTGTGACAGCTGTGCGCAGGTATCAGGCAACCGAAGGGCTGTTGTGTGGGCCAGGAGCCCCCCAGGGGAGCGCCAAGGGGGAGCTGTGCAGCATCAGAATGGGCTGCAGCTGGACAGGCCCTTGCTGGGTGTGAGATAGCGCAGGTTCTTTAAGGAAAGTGGATTGGCTGTTGAGCGCCCTTTCAGCTCTCCAGGTCTGGGGATCTATGATCCCCAATCACTTATCAAAAGAGTCTCCCTTCAAGGAGTTTGCAGCCTATGTGCAGTCAGATGGGGGTGCCACAGTGCACACAGCCCTAAGTCTGGGATTCAGGGAGACCTGAGTTCAAATCTGACCTCAGAAACTTACTAGCTGTGGGACGCTGGGTGAATCACTTAACCTCTGCCTGCCTCAGTTTCCTCAATTGCAAAAAATGAGGATAATAGCTCCTACCTCCAATGGCTGTTGTGTGGATTGAATGAGACATTAATAAAGCACTTAGCATGGTCCCTGGCACATAGCAGGCACTATTTAAGTGCTTTTAGTATTATTAAGAAGATGTTTAATTTGTCAAGTTAATTAGGTTAAGAAACTATCATAAATTAAATATACTTTCTCGTGTAAGTTCTTACTTCTAAATTCCCCCGTTAGAGCTGTGTAATCATCTGAGAACTGAGCTGCTTATAGACCCTTAGCAAGTTTTAGTTAGAATGGTATTCCATGGGCTAGTTTTCATTTCCCATTGAAAAGGCAGAGAGACAAGTTAGCATGATGTCATTCATGGAGAGCACTCGGGCTTGGAACCAAAAGACTTGGATACATAGCTGGTCTCGGCCACTTCTTTGCTGTGTAACTGAGGGTGGGTCACCTTCCCCACTCTGAGCCTCAATTTCCTCATCTGTCAAATGAAGTTGTCCTTGTAATTCCTACAGCAGAGGATTGTTATGAGAAAGGTGGTGTACAAATAAAAGTGCTAATGAAATCTCTGCCCCAGTTATGAATCTGACAGCCATTTCAGCCACAGAGAACCCTTTACTTGTGTCTGCATGGTGTGGAAAGGGCTGCAGACTTGGACTTTTGCCCACGTTGAAGGACAGGAAGGGACACACTGACCACGGCTATTCTATTCTGTGTTAAAGCTCAGCTCAGGGAGGTTTTCACATCCCCTTCCTCAATCCCCAGCACTTCAGCCTGATGCCTGGCTATCAAATACAGAAATCTGGGACAAGATATTCTGACCACAAGATGTGGCCTTGAAGTGTTCCTTGAAAGCAACCACTGAGGCAAGGAAGAGGTTAAACATGTTGCCATTTCTAGCTTCTAGCAGCCCAATAAAAAGCACCTGCCTGGGACCAAGAGCCATGACTTGCTATAGACAGGCTGTGTCCCAGCCCCCAGCCCCACCCAGTCCTCCTTCCCTCTGCTGGAGGAACTTTGTCCCTAGAAGCCAGTGAGTAGGTGCTTGGATTCTGTGGGACTCTGGGAGAGCTACCTTTCTGCTAACCCACAGCTGTTCAAGCTGAGGAAGAAAAGGAGGAAAAGTATCATCAAGAATGGGCCTGGAGGACACTGGAGTCAGTTTCTAGCTCACTGTTTCTAAGAAGTTGTGATTCGTTTTTGAAAACTGTCCCTTTTTCCCCTCTCTTAGTTTGTGTTTAAAGACTATCTGCCTTTTTTTTTTTAAAGTTTATTTTCAACTTAGGAAAGAGAGATAAATAAAACCAAACCACAAAGTTAAGTCAGGAGATAATATCTTGTACTTTGGTCAGGGAGACATTGGCTTCCAAACAAACCATGTAGCTAACTGGCTCTTTCCAGCTCCAGCTCCAGTAGGTAACAGGCAGTTGACTTGGATAAGGAGATGAGTGAGATATGCCAGGAAGCTGCTTGGTCATCAAGCCTGGCATGGGGACCATGAGAAGGGAGGCCAGGCCATCCCTGGGAGATGATGCAGAAAGACAACAAAGGGTGCAACTCCCCTCTTCCCAGTGACTTTGGACCAGTCAGCTTCCCCAACTCTCAAGGCAGTTAAGGGGTGCTACAGTGCCCAGAGGGCTGACCCTGGCCTCAGGAAGACCTGAGTTCAAATCCGTCTTCAGACCCTTACTGGCTGCAAGACCCTGAACAAGTCCCTTAGCCTCTCTCTGCCTCATCTGTAAAATCACAACAATCCCTGCCTTCCAAGTTATTGTGAGAATCAAGAGAGATACTCTTTGTAAAGTGCCTTATAAATGCTACTGTTATAATTATTATTCAAGGGGCTAGGAATGCCTGGCTTGTCCACCTCCCAGGACTTTAGTGCGCTTTCGGTGCAGTAACGTACGCACAATCGAGCCACCTCATCCTTTTTCCCATTGCACAGAGTCCAGTCTGTGCCACTTGACTCTGCCCGGAAATCCCAGGGCCAGTCCCTGTGCGTGTTTTACATATGAGGACGCTTGTGGAGCAGAGAGGGACTTCATTAGTGAAGGCCAATGCCCTGTGGGGAAAGCCCGGTCTTCAGACTCCCCAGCCAGGTTGTCTCTGGGGGCTGCCTGGGTAGCAGAAGTACTGGGAGGGAAGTCCCTTTTCACCTGCAACACTAATGCTAGTGAGAGATCAGGGAGACCCAGGCATCCACAGGCTCTGCCCCGATTTCTGTCACGAGGTTTCCTCTACACCCCCGCAGCACCATCCTATGAATACACCACCCCTCTGGCTGTGTTTCCTTAGGGAGCCGTAAGCAGCTCCCTGACAGACTATCCTGTCCCCACACCCAGCGACACAAGCTCATGCAGAGCCAGTCAGCTGTCAGTATCTGTAATTCAATGAAACTTGGGCCCTTGTCTCTGGACCCTGACCCATAAGCTCTCAGAGCCTCTTGTACTGGAAGGGTGTGAAGGAGAATGGGGACCTTGACCCAACTGAGCTCTCTCCAAGGACTCCAGAACCGTTCATCTCTTCAGTCTCAAACTGCCCCCTGCCCTAACCCGCACTACCCCAGCAGGTACCCTGCA